TGTCCCGCCCCGCCTGGACAAGGTCCTGTACACCCTGCTATAGGTGACCCTGCTTCGGCAGGAGGGTTGGACTGGGTGACCCACAAAGGTCCCTTCCAATCCCTACCATTCTGTGATTCTAACACACCTCACGCTGAGCTCACCTCCGCCGCTGTAAATCACGAGTCCTGCGCCGGCTCCTTCCCAGATAGCCCGAGCAGCTCAGTTCAGGGCAGAACACATCCAGAATGTCATTCTGCTCTTCAGCACCAAGCAAGCAGGAGGTTTTTCCCCTCCGGATTCTCCTCTAAGCTGCTCACTTGCAAACGGGTTTCTGTGGGTGCAGTAACCCCCGGGGGAAGCACCACCAACTCCCTGCCCACCGCCGCGCTTAGCTGCGCGTTCTGCTCTCACCCCAGCACCGTCCTTCCACCGTGCCTCCACTCCCGGCTGCTCGCCGGACCCCCAGCCCCGCAACCCGGGCAGGCACCTCCCCGCCGATTCCAACGGCTGGGCCCCACGAGCACACAACAACTCCCCAAATGAAGATTCCATCCGAACATCAAAAACCCTACCCGCACACCTTCTGCAAAATTCAGTCTCGATCTATCTTGCTGTGTTACACTTCAAGTACCAAAAAGATGGGAAATGCACACTAGTTTAAATTCTTAACTTAATTGGTACACAGCGTTTCTGAAATACAGCATCAAGCATTCAAAGTGCAAACGGTTTCAAAAATTCCCCTAAAGGCTTTAAATCAGTCCGACGTGCACGGCGAGCCAGGGATGCCACAGCCCTGCCCCAGCTGCCACGTTCAGAAAGTTCTTACACAAGTCATGCTAAGAACATATAATTTTTTTCCAGTAAGCAACCACATGTAAACCTATCAGAAAAAATACAAAGCCATGGCTACGTTCTTCCAGCATATTTTATAATTCTAAACACCCAAACAATACACTTCAGTCTTGATCGTACGTCGAGAAGACGCCTTCCAGCTGCACCCGGAGATCTGCTGCACAGACCCGGTGCCGCCACGACCGCGCTTTCTCACGGAAGCCACCAAGGTGGCAGAGGGAGCATCTCAGCTCACACACTGCCTGCCAGCGTCACAGCCACACTGCAGACGCAGGCGGGGCTCCCAGCTCACTTTTAACACGCTATTTCAGACAACGCCTCTAAGCAGCACCACAAAAAATAACTTTAATTCCAGATGACAGTAATGCCACCTATATCCCCCGAGTATTGACCAAAACTCACGCTCAGCAGCAAAGTAAGTAACAAAACGCTGCCCGTCAGTGCCACCAGGAGTGACCTTACCTGGCAACGGCGAAGCCAGCACCGGAATTTTGATGGGGGAGAAGGTCAGCAGGCGGCAGGGCTGGACGCTGGGTGCGGGAGGTCCCTGGGGGGCTTCAGGCTCCACCGAGACCATGGCGGCGGTGGCCAGCGCCAGGGTCTGATGGCC